GTAAAATTTCATATAAATGAAACATCACCATAAAGCCATAAATTGCTTTGAATTATTCTTTTGAATTAATGTCTTTTAAACGGTTTGCTTTTAAATACAGAATGCTTACTGCTGTTAGTAACATTTCAGGGCTTGTCGCTTGTTCCTTTCGTAAGCAACAGGCTCCCTTATCTTGTTTTTCAATCTCTAGGCTTTCTAGAGTCTTTTGAAGACACGAGGAACCAGGAACTGGAACGGAAAGCACAGATAGAGGCCAATATTGTGGCACTGTTAGAGCACTCCAGCAGGGTAGGCGGCTTTGGCTCCAACCCTAGACATATTTACTGAGAAATGTTGCTTCGAATGCACTGACCTCACTGCTGAGTAAAAGTGCTTGGGTTCAAGAATGTGCATCCCTCTCATAAAAAATGTTAATAATCGTTAATTGTTAAGTAAGATATAAGTATTTTAAATAATCATCAGGTTCAATTATTGGTATATTCTAAAGAACAATTAATTGGTAAAAGCTTGCACTGGTTTAGATACGATTCACAGTAAATGGATTTAGAAGGGTGTAACTGTGCTTAGAATTGTAAGAACTATATGTGAGTTCTTCCCGCTGTCAAGAACCGTGCCATACCAGCTCCTCACCCTTTTATACACTCTGGGCTGATGCAAACATAATGCAAAGTTCTTTTAACTTTGTTCCACAACTCAAGAGCCATCTTTGAAAATATATCCCCCCTCTCTTCACCTCAGCCTCTCCACTTAACTGCAGCAAGCATGGGTACAACCTCCTGTCTGCCCACTTTCACAAAGAGTGTCACCCACATTTTGCTTTCTGATATCTCCTTAATTACAGTGCTAGGTGCTGGAATAGGCAACAGTTAGTATACAAGAGAAGAAGCCCCCTGGGATGGAGGGGGCAGCATATGGGAAAACTAGTCAGATAGGGATGTGAATCAAGATGGGTAGCTGTGTTAGTCTGTCTGTAGCAGCAGAAAAGAGTAAGAATCCAGTAGCACCTTAAAGACTAACAACATTTGTGGACAAACAGACCAGCCCCTTCAACAAAGAATTAATGGACATAAGTCTGACATCAGAAACCACAACATTCAAATCCAGTGGGGGAACATTTTAATCTTCCAGGACATTCAGTTGCTGATTTTAAAGTAGCAGTTATCTTACAAGGGAATTTCAAAGGGAGATTAGAAAGAGAGACTGATCACAGAGCTCAAGACAATGCATCCACCTGGACTGAATTAAGACCTAGGTTTCCTGTCTCATTACCAATGCTGATTTCTCCATGCCTACTGCTTCTCTGCATATCACACCTAATCCAATCTCACTTGCTGTTGTCATTTGCCTCCTAATGTCATTTGACATCTGAAATTACTCCACTTTCCAATATATAGGACACACATTCTAGCTGTATCTGAAGAAGTGAGCAGTGACTGATGAAAGCTCATACCCTACCAAAAATTTTGTTAGTGCTACTGGACTCTTACTCTTTTCTACAGATAGGGATGCAGATACTGCATTCTTCCTTCTGCTAAATGTCATTTCTTTCTTTATCCCTAGAATGCAGCTCTTAGGCTTACTTGCGGCTTCTACTCATACTTTTTATTCTTTCTTCCTGTCAACCATGTAGCTAAATATATCAGTTTGTTTCTCTAACTGACTCCACTTCACTGTGTGCTAAATCCTCATTCTGCTAACATCTGCATTGGGTAACTTATGCTCAGAAGAGCCACAGGTGGCATTTCCAAGAACCACATATGGTTCTGAAGCCAGTGGGTATTGCTGCTTTATAGAATCATGTAGACAAAAATGATAGTTTCCTATCTTGTAAAACTTACATTTCACTTTTGATAGTGGGGAGACTACAATGGGAAAAACAACAACAACATAACAGTACCTGTGCTGGATCAGACCAATGGTCCATCTAGTCTAGCTTCCTGTTTCACACATTGGCCAAGCAGATGCCACCAGAAGATCTACTAGCAGGACTAGGGATGAGAATGAACCAGCTCACAAACTAAAGTTCATGATGAATTTTGGCAGGATTGTGGTTCATAGGTTGTGAAGTGAAGTTTGTGGCAGGTCAACTGAACTGTGCAGCTGTTTGTGGCAGTTCATGAATGGATACATTTCCAGACAGTCCACTCAGTCTAAATGTTTACCAAACTTCAAAGCAACATGGGGGAGGGGGCTTGGAGAGCATGTAGAGGAGCATCCAGGCAAGGTCCTCTGTGACTTAGATGTCTTTAGCTTACTCCATTCTATACACTCCTGAACCTGTGCCTGTCAAAATGACTGCCTATCATTTCCCCAGAAAGCACTTTCCTAGGGGTACCTTCTTTGGGGGGGCGTAATTTGGACACCGTAAATCCAATCCTCACCAATCTTGGAGGGCAGGTAAAGAAGAGTCAGCCAGAGATCCCCTGCAGATTTGGTCTCTCATGCTGGGGGGGGGCATTCTACCAAGTGACAAACCAAACTGGTTCGTTTAGCCCCTAAAAGTTTGTGGCGAATCATGGTTTACAAACCGGGCACACCACAAACTGAACCACATTTTCTCATTTCATGCCCATCCCTAATTGGGAAATACCTGGAGATCTGAGGGGTGGAGCTTGAGGAGGACGTGGTTTGGGGAGGGGAGAGACCTCTTTGGGATATAATGTCATACAGTCCACCTTCCACAGCAGCCATATTCTCCAGATGAACTGATCTCTATCACCTGGAGATCTGTTGTAATCCTTGGAGATATCCAGCCACCACCTGGAGGCGGGTCAGAAGGAGGTGGGCGAGAAACTGCCCCAAAGCCTCAGGGGGAAACTCTGAGAGTTCCATTGAGAACTGAGCTCTCTCTAACCAGAATTAAGGTACATGTACATGTGCTAAGATAGCAAAGGATGCATCAGCTTGCAGTTTTCTCTTAGGTATTGGATATATTTGCAATTTTGCTTGTACAAAACTATGACATTTATAACTTTTTAATTCCATAAATGTGTCAAATGTTGCAATTTTATATGCTAAGGAAGTTATAAACAATGCGTTTTATGTTCTTAGAGCATTAAGATTAGGTTTGATAGCACAATAAGTATTGCATATATTTCAGTTTTCACCAACAATTCAGTTTTTCCAGTGGGGAATGTCTGGAATGCTTTATGTTCCATTCTTCTTTCAATGCACAGAACCTAAATTGTATTAAGCAAATATCTTCTGTAACAAATCAAGAGTTGAAGATCATGCAGGAAGACCTCACTTTCAAATCCAGTGAAATGCAGAAATCGCAGAGTACTGCTAAAAACCTTGGTACAGGTAAGGCAAATATGTGTGAAATCAGTCATTTTTATTCATTTTAAAACACTGAATAGTGTGAGCTGCAGGGTCTGTGCCACATGGTATGTTAGTATGATACTACCAAATTAACGTTAAGATTGAAATATAATGAACGTACAACTAATGAGCTGTTATTAATTTTTTGCTTCTTCGGTTTTTGGAGTATTGTATTTTTCTCTGAAATTATGGCTCTGGAAATTTACTAGAAAAGTAAATGCTGAGATGTTTGGATATTTTAAAGAATCTTTATTGCCCCTCACAAGTGTTTTGAATCACAAATTGGGATTTACAAGGGGGAATCTTTTTTTTAATTTGAGTATACTGGACCCGAAAAAAAATCAGTATTTTCCAGTATTCCCGAATCCCAGTATTGGTATAGTATTCGGATTCAGTAATAATCAAGAATCCTGAATTTTTTTCAAGTCCATTATACCCTATGGGGACTGTTAAAGTCAATGGCAAATCTATCCTGGGTATATTCAGTGGTTGGGGGCAGGATTTGAGGTAGAGACACCAAATTTGCAACTTAGCTGCTGGAGCCTCTCCTCAAAAGAAACCCCAAGTTTCAAAAAGATTGGGCCAGGAGTCCAGTTCTATGGGCACCCAAAGAAGGTGCCTCCATTGTTTCCCGGGGGGGGGGGACAGCAAGGCAGTGCAAGCCCAGCAGAATGTCCCAGAGAATCTCTGCAGTAGAAAGTGAATGCATACCCCTAGTCACAATGTTTTTTTGGTTTTGATAGGTGGAAATGTAACATGAACAGGAGTGTCCATTCTTTTATCTTTTTATTTGAAACCACTCAGAAGAAGGGTGGTATCAGGCTAGTACAGCTGACTTCCTCTTCGTAATGTACAGATTTACTGCTGCATATGTTTTGTTTCAGCTAAGAGTTGTCTTTAAGTCATGCAGTGGTAATTAGGTGCCCGAGAATGCTTTAAGGCACGTAGACTTTGCAGCTTTTTTGAATCTATGAAAGTCATCTATTTAAAAATATTAGTTTGCAGGCTTCTGTGGTACGCTTTAATTCACTTGTTAATGACATGATTACTGCCACAGTATCTTTGGTGAGATCTCATTTCTGAAAAATTAGTGTTTCAGAGTGCTTAGTTTTTATTCATTGTACATTCAGCAAGAATGTACAATGCTGTAACACATAGGTGTACAGCTGATGCTCACAAGAGTATACTGGCCATTCACTTTGCTGGGGAGCATCCCAGTGGGCCATTGCCCTAAGATCCACCCACCACAGCAGTAAAGCCAGTAAGGAGGAATGTGGATGCTGCTGGCATCAGGTAAAGCTGGGGGCCACTATGCCTGTGTTCCTCCTCACACAACTTCACCCTGCTGGCATGGGTGTGGTGCAGACTGCAAGGAGAAGAACACCATTACCTATGCTTCTCCTCACTAACTCATCATGCCCAGGCTGGTGAGGAGGAGCACAGCAACACCTGGTTTCACCCTGTGTCAGCTGAGGCGTTGTGTTTCTGGAGAGAGAAACATGGTACTGCCTGCGTTTACACTGGTGGCTGGTGTGAGGTGCAATTGGCAGGGGAAAACAAGTGGCTCCTGCTTTCTCTCCAAACCATAAAAAAACCTGTGAAATTAAGAACTTTATGTCTCCCATTTTGCTGCAAGTTCCATTCTCTGCAGAACCCTTGATGATCATGAGTCTTATCTGGAAGTACCTCTATTTTGCTGGCAGGCCATGAGTTTCCCCAGTGTGTAGGTCTCTTTTACTTTCATCAGCCAGTCATGGATTTGAGGCCAATTTTATTTTTTGCTTCCAGTTCTGTGGAAAGACCAGTCAGGCTATGGTAATCATTTAAAGCTACTGCTTGAGGTTTTTTAGACATGTCAGCTGCACAATTTAACCATAAGATCCATGATTTATAGTGAATCTGTCTCCAGTCCGACTGATATAATTGCTATCTTTTGTTTCCAGTAATCTGTTGCCTATTTATATATCCACCATATATGAGAAAAGACTGCCTTCTCTGCCTCACTAAACCAGCACTTATTTTAGTTCCATAGATCTTTGCTAGGGTGAAAGGAGTTAAGTGCCATTGATAGATCATTTTCATCAGATTTTCCTATAAAAAACACAAATTGTTAAGTTAGTTCCATGTGTAAATATATATAAAGATCTGTGATTTTTATCATATTCATTTTGGGGCCCAGTTGTACAAATAGATAGCATAACAAAGGAGCGGACGCCAATAATTTTAAAAATTATTTCCTTTAATGGTCAGAAAAATATAAATGTGAGCTCTTTATATTTGCAGTCTTCAGTATCATGTTGTACAATCCATTGCTGCCATTTCTTCAAATTTTGTTTTGCAACCATAAAACCAAGAGGCTTTTAAAAAAATATTTAACTGTCAGAGAGCAGGATACAAATATTAAGATTGTAAGTACAAAGCAACAGCTAAAGATAATATAAAATTAAATTAATATTATGAGCACTTCCAGGGCAAGGTTTGTTAAACACAGGGCAAGGTTTGTTAAACATGTTCAGACAAGCCCCAGAGGGCCAGTATGGTATAGTGCTTAGAATGACGAAGCTGAAGTTGGTTCCTTATTCCCAGTTCCTTATTCATTCCTTATTCTGGTTTTATTCATGAATTCATCCATAAACAGTGAGGAGAGTTTGAAAGCTCTGAACCCCAAAGTAAGATTTGGACCCCCAAACTTCATCCACCCCCATGTTTAGTGAACTCCCCCCTTCGAGGGCACATATGCTGTGTCCTGGTCCAAAGCGTGGATCTTCGTCATGGTCTCTATGCAGTCCCACACATGGGTTGAGCGCCTGCGCACGACCTCGACGGGAGAAACTTCTAGAGCTTTGCCTCAGAAAGCTTTTGGCGGGCTCTCTTCCCGCACTGGGGAGCAGGCACGTACTGCACATGCCTGGAGCGGGAGAGAGAGCTGCCTCCCACTCAGTTTTTCTTCGACCGCCTGCGTGTTCACACCTCGTTTCTGTTGCTCCGTATTTGCCTCAGCTAAGTATATTTGTTTGTCTTTATTCTTCAGTCTTTCTTTATTCTACCTCGCTTTCTTTCCTTACTACTTAAAAAAAAAAGAATACACTTTTCTTTCTTCACTTTTGTTCTTCCCCCCCCCTCCCCTATTTGGTGGGTGGGGTGGAGAGTGTATGGGCAAAACTAAGTTTTTAAAAGTGTGTCGTCATTGCCCAGCTAAAATTCCTTCGAACGACAGTCACGAATTTTGCCTTCTTCGTCTGGGGGAATCCCATAGAGTCGATAGCTGCGTCCATTGTGCTAGTTTTACTAGGCAAGCTGGACGCAATAGGGAGGCTCGCCTTAGGGTTGTGCTTTTAGAGGCAGCTTTGTGCCCTACCATGGCTTCGACTGTTTCTTAAAGATCAGAAGGTTCTTCGAAGGCACCAAAGTTCAAATCTAAACAGTCTGATGATAATGCTCCCTTGAAATTGAAAGTCAAGCCCTCGACATCGGCTTCGACTTTGGCTGTTGACCCAGTCGTCATTACTGGCTAAATGACATCAACTCCAGCTGTGGCTGTTGCACCTAACAAGTCCACTTTGCGGCCTCCTACACCACTGCCTACGCTCTCTTCAGCATCTGGGCTTATTCCGCTGGGTCAACCTACAAGATCGCCTCCCAACTTGTCGTATCACTGGGACTCTCGATCTCTCCACACCTCCGTACCCCGATCCACCATTTGGAGGGCAGGGAGCATTCTGTCGGCTGCCATTCTCGATCTCGATCTTCACATGATCGAAAGCGTCTCAATCATCATCCCCCTCGGGATCGCCTTATGATGACCAATATTGGTCTCCTGATGAACGAGATCGGCCTGATTACTATCATTATTATCCAAGGTCTCCTACTCCTCGGCGTCACCACTATGATCGGCTTCGTCACTTCGAACGTACTGAGCATTGCCGCATTTTGGATGACGCCAGACGTTCTCGGTTCGTTACTTCGACCCGTTCTGTGGCTCCTGACCAGCCTCCTAAGCTCTCGAGACCTAGGGATGCCCCAAAGTGTTCTCCCTCAGATCCTCGGCTTCATCCCCCTATTGATGACTCCATGCCGGCTGATCTCACTCAACCGCTGAGATCCTCCTCTCCCATGTCTATCTCCGACAACTCAGATTCGGGAGACCTCGAGCTCGATGTTCCGCACATCGACAATGAGCCTTGGGCCTTGGGTTCTGTTTCTCCCACTGAAGGTCCAAAAGCGTATTTGGAGCTTGTAAACAGGTGGCATCTGCGCTTCAGGTCCAGGGTTCCACTGACTCCCCAGCTGTGACCGATGTCATTCACAAGCTTGTTCAGGCCGACCTCCCACCTTCTACGGCCCTGCCTCTGCTACCGGTCCACCATTCTGCCTTCAAGGAGTCATGGGTCCATCCCGCTTCGATTCCCCCGGTCGCCAGACGATACAAAGCTCTCTATATGGTCCAAGAGAACTCGGGGAAGTTTCTCTTCAGGCAGCCTCCGCCAAATTCCATGGTGGTACACTCTTCCTCGAAATCGAAGCAATCTGCCCGCCACTCTGCGCCTCCTGATCCTGAGGGCCACAAGGTCGATGTTATCGCGAAGAAGCTGTATTCCTTTGCCTCCATGAATCTTCGTATTGACACCTACCTGTCATATCTATTGGCTTATGCTTTTAATGTGGCTAATGCAGTACGTCCCGTCTTGGAGTTTGTTCCAGGGGAACACCGTCCCATGTTGTCAGGAGCTTTATCGGAAATTTGTATAATCTCGAAACAGCAAATTAATTCAGTCCGTCATGCCATCTAATCTCGAAACAGCAAATTAATTCAGTCCGTCATGCCATCACTTGCTCCTCAAAGGTCCTTGTCTCCTCCGTCGCTCACCATCGCCATGCTTGGCTAAGAGGTACGTCTTTACAGCCCAATGTGAAATTTCGGATTGAGAACCTCCCCTTCGATGGCGAGGGTCTCTTCCACTCTACCACTGACGAGGCCTTGA